TGTGTGTGTCTCCCTGTGTGTGTGTGTGTGTGTGTGGGTGTGTGTGTGTGTCTCTCACACACACACACACGTGTGTGGAAGTGTATAGTGTATATTTCCATGTTCTAGCGGTATATACATTCATTCGATCTTGCTCATCCTATGGATGGACTACCATGAGGCCAGCCACCAGGTTGGAGACCTACCTGTTCGTTCTCTCTCTCTCTCTCTCTCACACACACACACACACACACACACAACACACACACAACACACACACACACACACACACACACACACACACACACACACACACACACCCTCCTGATGAGTCGGACTTTCACAGATTGGCACAGTCATGCTTTTTTTGAGTGTATAGCGAATATGACGACACACAAGCCCGGGTAGCACATCTCCCAGCCTCCCAGGGCCAGGGGAACAGCCGCTACTGCCATCAACGTCAAGAAGGGAATACCTAAGAGATGTACGGTACCAGTAGGGGCACATCGAAATTCTTGTGCCTGTACTGAACGGCTATCTGGTAGGGGCAAACTGGAAATTTGGCGCGGGTACCGGTAGGGGCATATTGAAAATGTCTCAGGCCCAGACGATGCCAGGGTTTTTTTGGAAACTTGAATGACTGTCAGAGGGGCAAATCAGGGTAAGTCGGACGTCGGAGGGGTAAATCGCAAACAAACACAAACTTCAGGGGCATTCGACAATTTTCCCTTTTTTTTTGGTATTTATTTATTTAGGCTAATTGCCTGTGGAATCTGGGCAGGGCGGCCTTCGAGGCCTTTTTCATTGTCTTTGTAGTATTAGGGGAACCCTGTAGCCCACGAGGACAGCAGTCTGTGCTAAAGTGCCGCTCGGGGGCACCAAGCTCGCCCAGGAGGGGACCTTAAAAAAAAAAAAGGGCAAAAAAAAAAAAAGGGCATTAAAAAAAAAAAAAAAAAAAACATTGAACCCATGCCCTCCTAATGCCACTCACCTGGGCTGAAAAGGCCACCGTTGTCAGATTAGACACAAGATTGAATTTACGCGGGCTGGTTAGTCCGATGATAATACCTCAAGGCCATCGCCCTTTTAAAAAATAAAATAAAAAATAATGCCACTCACGTGCCACACCAGTCGCGATAGGCCGCCGAATGAGAATTTTCGCTGGCCGTTTCTGGGGTATATGTGCAAGTTGGCATTGAGACTGAGTATAGCGGGTATAGTATTTCCATCTTTAAGTGGGGTACAGATGCAATTGGTCCTGGCGGGAGGAGAAGGAAAGCATAAACAAAGGCAGGGGGAACAGAGAGCAGCGGAACGGAGGAGGACAAGAGGGAAGGAGAGGGGGGTGCGGATGCGGTTCCTATCTGGGCAGAGGTCTCTCTAACTATCGCGAAGAGAATTGGAGTGAACGCCTGTATCTGTACCGGTTTGTGGAAAGGTGCAGGAAATCGAGATTGAACTTGTTTCTGCATCTCTGCTGAAAAGTCGTCGAGATTCAGGAGCTTACTCCGATGCTCTTTTGCTAATTGGACGTCCCCCCTTCCACCCCTCTTCACGCAAATAGAACGCCCGGCCATTATAGCCGTATTTGGTGTACTTGTCAGTCCAGATACAGGTATAATAACCAGGCGTTGTTTTCGGGGCAAGACGGGGGTAGCTACGTAGCCATGAACGCGGTGCTGGCGCCGACGCTTCGGCTTGTGAACGGCGTGGAGATGCCACGTGTCGGCCTGGGCACTTTTCGAATGCGGGGAAATGAGGCGAAATCGGCTGTGCAGTGGGCTCTGGAAGCAGGATATCGCCACGTGGACACAGCGTCGATCTACAAGAACGAATCTGAGATTGCGTGGGCAATCAAGGAGAGCGGACTACCGCGGGAGGTGGTTTTCATAACGAGTAAAGTCTCGCCCCTCGAGCAAGGGTATGAGGCCGCTATGGCCGCTTTCGCGGCCACATGCAGCCGGCTAGATACTGCGTACCTGGACCTGTACCTGATCCACTGGCCGGGGGTGGCTAAGATGCATGTCAAGTCGGAGAGAAACGGCCAATTACGAGCTGACACGTGGCGAGCGCTGGAGGATCTCTATCGACAGGGCCGATGCAGAGCAATCGGGGTCAGTAATTACACTGATTATCATCTGCGAGAGCTTCTGAGCTCATGCCACGTCAGACCCATGGTTAATCAGGTAGAGCTGCATCCCATGCTGACTCAGCACCAGCTTGGCGCTCTGTGCTGTGAGAACGCTGTCCAGATCGAAGCCTATTCGAGCCTCGGCTGTGGGGAGCTATTGCGGCACCCTGTCGTTATCGAAATTTCGGCTAAGTATAAGAGGACCCCTGCACAGGTGTTACTTCGCTGGGGACTTCAACACGGCCACGTTGTCATCCCCAAATCCGTCTCCAAGGAGAGGATTTTCCGTAATTTCGACCTATTTGACTTCGAGATTCAGGACGTGGATATGGCGGCTTTGAACGAGCTTAACGAAGATAGACACTTCTGTTGGAATCCTAACGAAATTGCCTAGTAATGTCCTCTTTTTTTTTTTTTTTTTTTTTTTTTACCGTAATGGAATCCTAACGAATTTCCCTAGTAATGTCCTACTTTTTTTTTTTTTTTTTTTTTTCCCCGTAATGGAATCCTAACGAAATTGCTTAGTAATGTCCTTTTTTTCTTTTTTTTCTTTTTTTTTTCCTTCTAATCCTTGCGCAGAGGCCATGCTAATCCTCTCTGTATGTCCCGAAGGACTATCTTCTTCCCCCGAATACAACGTACGGTCATTATAGCTGTGTATCTAGACTGGAAGATCCTCAAATACAGCGATAATGATCGTGCGTTGTGTTCGGGGGAAGATGGTAGTAAGGTCTTTTGGCGAACACCATTGTTGCCCGCTCATCCCTGAAGTGATGTATACAAAGTACCTTTCCTGTCAGGTACGGTCATGATGAGGGTGTGTTGTTCAACACTTTTGCTGGAATCCTAACGAAATTGCCTAGTGCGGTCTGTCGGTGAACATTATTGCACGTTCGTCCTGCGCTGATGTATACAAGGTATCTTTACGGTCAGGTACAGTCGTGATGAGCGTGTGTTGTGTTTGCAGCAGGGAAGACTGTACCTGTCCCTTCACTGCAAACACAACTCCCCCTCATCGCGACTGTACCTGACCGGAAGAGTAGCTTGTATACATCAGTGCAGGATCAGCCTGCAATGGGCGTCGCCAACAGAGGGATACTTTGGCAATTTCATTAGGGTTCCGACAGAAATGTCTATCTTCCTCAAGCTAGTTCAGAGCTGCCATATCCGTTTCTTGAATCTGGAATTGAAATAGGTCTGGATTGTTTTTTTTTAAATTTTAAATCGCTAAATCCGTTATGATATTTTTTTCTGTGGACAACAGCTTCGCTTCGCTGGTTGTCGACAAATAAAAAATCATAACGGATGGCACAGCCGTCGCTGGACACGTGGCATGCAAAGGAAGATGACACGTGGGACTGGGCAGGTGGGACTGGACACGTGGGGTTAGACACGTGACATGCAATGCGAGACACGTGTCATGCAAGCGATTCTGCTGCTGTACGGGATCGTGCTGTCGAAATGCTTCAATTTTTCACTGTTTTTCTTCGTAATAAAGTAATTGGCTTATTTGACGTGGCATAAGATCAAGGAGATGCCTAGCTGATTAGTTGGGTACAGTCTTTGTTGCAAACGTGGGATGCAAACCGAAGATGCCTTCTTTGGACACGAGGGGTCGGACACGTGAGGTTTTCGCACGTGGGTTGGCCACGTGGGGTTCGACACGGGTTGCACACGTGGCATGCTACTGTGGAGACACGTGTCATGCAAGCAACACGTGGGGTTGGATAAGTGGCATGCAATCGAGGACACACGTGTCATGCTGGCGATGACGCTGGAGTTGGACACGTGGCATGAAATTGGAGATGCCGAGCTGGTTACGTGACACACTCTTCCCCGGGCACGTGGCATGCAATTGAAGATGCCTTAGTCGGACACGAGGGGTTGGACACGTGGCATGCAGTTGTGGAGACACGTGGCATGCAGTCGATTCGACACGTGGGGCTGGACACATGGCATGCAATGCTGCTGTTGGACACGTGGCATTACGTGGCACAGAGAGAAAAGAAGACCAACGATGTCTTTCGACACGTGCCGAACTTGAATGTGATGTTGGGATGTTTGAGACGCATGGCATGCAATGAGAGATGCCGTTATTGGGCACGTGCCGTTCGAATCGAAGATGCTTTTTCTCGATACGTCGCATCTAACTGAAGATATTTCTTTTAGACACGTGCCATGCAGTCGGATATGTCTTCGTTGAAAGACGTGGTATGTCTTCTTTGGACATGTGGCCTTAGACACGTGGCATGCAATCGGATATGTCTTCGTTGGACACGTGGCCTGCAACACCAGATGAATTTGTTTGAAACGGCGCATGAAGTTGGAGATTGTTTTCATTGGACACATGTGGCATGCGACCGAGACAATCGAGTCCCGAGTCCCGACCGATCTTTTATGGGGATGTATCCCGACTCTCGACTAAGATTCCAGCCTCTCTGGCGCCTTCATGCGTCTCCATCAATCGTGCGTCTCACCTTTTGTCCCGTTTGGGTTGAAATGAATACAAAAGTTTTGGCGCGGGAAGGCTTTATTACTTTCCTCCCTCCGGTCTTGAGTCTCGTGCCCTCCCTCTCCCCCGCTTTTCCTCTCTCCTCTCTCTTCGTCTCCTCTCCATCGTCTTTCTTATTCTCTCTCCCTCCTCCTCCTCCTCCTCCTCCTCCTCTTTCCCTGTCGCCATCGCCGCTGGTAAAGTCACAGTGATGTGAAGTGAAATCTCATCATCGACGATCATTTGCAGATTGCGAGTTTTTTTTTTTTTTTTTTTGGRGGGGGGTGTGTTTTTAATGTTGATGTAGGTATCTCGTTCCTGATCAAAACCCTAAACCTAAATACATAGTTGGTGAGAGCAGAGGAGCAGAAAATGTGGGAAGAGTTATTCAGGGCAGCCGTTAAAACTGGAAAGATAGCTTACTACCAAAAAAAGAAAAGAAAAAAGAAAAAAAAATGGAAAGATAAAGAGTGATTAGAATGACCCCTACGGAAGGATGGCATGCATAAAAGAACGAGAAAAAAAAATTAAAAAAAATGGAAAGAACAAAAACAACAGAAGGAAAGGTAAAAAACGAGAAGCTCATTTGAAGGTGGAGAAAGTGGTGGGGAATGAAGGAGAAGAAGCAAGCAAAGGTCTGTCGGATCTTAGGATTTTTCTGGTGGCTATCGGCAAATGGGTTACAGAGGAATAGCTACCGTCTTCCCCCGAACATAAGGCACCCTACAAATGAATGTATACAAGCTATATTTCCGGCTAGATACAGCCAAAATGAGGGTGCGTTGTGTTCGGGGGAAGACGGTAGTACGAGGAACCTACCGGGCCCTACAGTTCAAGAGGATTTCAGTATTTTTATTAGACTGGTACGATTACCCTAAAAATGAATGTATACAAGCTATATTTCCGGCCAGATACAGCCAAAATGAGGGTGCGTTGTGTTCGGGGAAGACGGTAGTACGAGGAACCTACGGGGCCCTACAGTTCAAGAGGATTTGCTCATCACCTCGGAGTTCGTTTTCGTTCCCTCCTGATGAGGCTGGACTCTCGCTCGGGTCGAAACCCGGGGCTAGGTCCCACTTGCACGAATTAAGAGAAGTTACTGACCGTGGATACCAAAGATCAACGGCCTAAATCTCCTAATCTGCGCAAGTGGGACCTTGCCGCCGGTAGAGGGTGTTAGCCAGACTTACTCCCGTCCATCAATGGCCAGTGGTTCGGACGCCATAGCCACAGCTTAGATGCCTATGGTGATAATCTTGGTTCTTCTCCTTTCCTACTTTTGGAAGAGTACTCTCGACTCCGAGTTGGCACATAGCTGGCATGTTTGCCTTGCATGCAGCGTGCATGTGTTTGTGTTTGTGTTTGTGTATTGCCCATTCCTGCTTTGTGCGGGCGTTGGCTCTTGGCTCTCCACATTCCAATTGGTAAGGGCAGTGGCAACCGGGCAGGAGGCGTACACTTGGTTCGGTGACCCTTGTTTTTTTTTTTTGTTTAGTACTGCCTTCTTCCCCCGAATACAAGGTACGGTCATTGTAGCTGTCTATCTACTAGACTGAAAGATGGCTCAGATATAGCTATAATGACAGTACGTTGTATTCAGCGGAAGAGGGTAGTCCTAGAAAATTGCTCTGTAGTTAGCTACACGACTGACTGAAGAATACGGGGCGGGAAAGGTCATAAAACCTTCCGGCAAGGAAACCTTTGTATCCATTTGCCCCCAAACGGGGAAAAAGGTGCCGCATTTATGCACCCTGCAAGACACTTTCCTGCCATTTTTACACAGCGGCCCAGCCAGGGTGCAAAAATGACGCCCAAAGCGATTTTGGGATCTGCTGCACTTTTTTCCCCGTTGGATACAACGGTTTCTTCGCGGGGGGGCAGGTTTTATGAGTTTTCCCCAAGAATACGGGCAGATCATCACCAAGTGGGAGAAGGGCGTCGAAGATAAACCACTATCAAGAATTAGAAATAAATGAATGGAAATGGAGGAAATGGAGGTTTCGGCTTTGGAACGGGTCCACCCGGCCCACCCCAAAGAATTGGGGGATGGAACCGGGGAGAAGGAGATCAAAGAGGGGGTGCAGCGGGCGTCCATCTGCCCTGGGATACAGCCAGGGCCTATTCGGCTATTTGCCAGTTCGGCCTGTGGGACCAGGCCGTGGCCTGACCCCACAGGCAGTGTGCTGTTCCAGTTCAGTCCAGTCCTGCCCAGTACCACTGTCGGTACCAGGCCAGTCCAGTTAGTCCGCTGGGGGTATACACCAGCTGTTGTCTGGTTTTCAGATCATTCTTCACTTTGCACTTGTTGGAGTACATGCCGTGTTGAGTCTGTGTCGGAGCTGCGCTGTCCCTTCCAGCTCCATCTCCACTTCCTCCTTCCTCAACCCTCTTCTGCATCCTGACGGACCACCATCCCGGCGGGTCCAGCACACTGGTATCAGAGCGGGAACGTTTCCCGCTCCCACCCACCCTGGCCCCCACCGTAGGCCGCCGCACACGCACGCGCCACGCGCCCACGCTGCCCCGCCCCGCTCCCGGATTATCTTTATCAAGATCCGGGATGCATGCTGTTGCAGGGTTTAAACCTAGGCAGCTGCTGGCCATGCGCGTGCGTAGCCACCACTATAGCATACTGGCCACAGTGTGTCTATGGCTCAGTAGTACGACACTCTTGTGTTGAAGAGGTGCTGTGCCAGCTATTTACCTTCCGCCCGCAACGAGCACCGGCCAGCACGACAACAGCACGTGGCCATCTGCAGTGCCACGTGGCAGCTTGCCGTGGAGGTTGAAGACCCCCCTGGCTAGGGGGCTGCGCCACATACATATATTATATATTTTCTTCACTATTTTTCCACTGCCGCAGCAGCAGTTTGGCAACAGTTCAAGATTCCCCCTTGGCTGGGGGCTGTGCAACTGTGGCAGTTAGGTGGCTGATCAAGATCTCAGCCAACCTTGAAACATCATCATCATTGTCTTCTAATGCTACGGCAGCAGGCCAGCAGCATCTTGAAGGACAGGATCCTGTGGATCTTGGTAGTGCTCTGCTCCTGGCCACCCAAGAGCTTGGTATCACCATCCCACCCACTAACCTACTCTCCCCCTACCCTTTTTCTCTCCTCCCCTCTCCACTCATCTTCGACTAATCTCTTCTACCCATCCTCACGTTTTTCATCCCTATCTCTCTCATTCTCTCACCCTCCTCTACCCCCTTCTCTCCCCTAACTACAACCCCATCACTTCCCTATCTCCCCCTTCACTTTTTTTTTTTCTCTCGCCTATGTCTCTCTTTTCTCCTTCACTTTTCATCCCCATCCCCCCCAACTTTGAATTTTTTTTGTTTTTCTTCTTTTTATCTTTCTTTTGATTTATATTTCCTCTTTTTTTTCCAAAATTCGAATTATCTTATTCCCAACCTTCTTTTCTGTTTATTTTTCTGAAATTTATAATTTGCGGCATTTTGGACTTTAGTGTGCTCATCTTGGTCTCTCCTTCCTCTTGGCACATTCTTGACCCGTTGGGGGGTAGGGAAATGCTGCCGAAAATTTCGAAAAATAAGTATTACTTCTCTCTTCACATTTTGTTTATTTAATATTTTTAATGATTTTTATTATTTATTGTTTTTATTTTTATCTCAAAACTTCACTGTTTATTTTATTTTCTCTTCCCCTCCCCTCCATGATTACTATTTTTCTTTCTTGATTAGGTCGCCGTTACCCTACCCTAACCACCCAAACCCCGGTTAGGGTTTTCTTAGGGTTTCTATAGGGTTTGGGGTTCTCATAACCCCCTTACTCTCCCGCCTCCTCTCGTCGGGCACCCTGGACCCGTACAATTCCTCCCCCCTCGACCAGATTCGTGCCAACATCTCATGCACGACCCGCTGGTCACGGGGCGAGCCGACCCACGACTACCCACTTAGCTATCACGGTCCCCTCCCTCTCACTGGTGGTCCCCTGTCCCCATACCACAACCCATCTCTCCCCCCACCTCCCACCATGTCTACCTCTCTCCCTCCACCTCCTACAGATAGGGCTACAGCTGAGGAGATCACCGCGGCGTAGTCCACATCCCAGGTCAGCGGGCAGCCAGCGGCTCATGGTCAGGCCCATGCGGACACCATGGACCTTCATGCCATCCTTGTATCGATCCAAGCGCAACTTAGTGCGTTTGGACCGTTGCAAGTGGAAATCAATGCGCTTGCCCTTGAGGTCAACCGCCTCAAAGGCTCTCCCCATCGCTCCCCATCCCATTCTCACACCCCATCCCCTACCGTCTCACCGACCGGTTCCCTACGACTCCAGCGAAATGAACATGGTGGTTCTCCCTCCCCTGAGGCTCAGGCCCAACACTCCCTCTCATTTGTGATGAGCGCTGCTGCCAGTCAGACCACTCCGTCTGTTGCGTCAGTTCTCCCGAACCTTGCCGCCCCTACCGTCTCTGCTGCTGTCGTAGGCCCTGCGGTCCAAAGACCATCATCTGGACGGACAATTTTATCAACCTGTTCCGGTGCTGCTTCCCAGCTCCGTACACCGGTCGTAGCACTATGGTTCCATCCACTACTCCCCGCCTTCGTCCCCTTACCCCTACAACAGGGTACCCTGCAGTCTGGGATTCCTCCTCCCGGTGGGATAACCCCCCCGCCTCCTCCACCCCCGACCTCGCACGCCCAGCGAATGGTCACTTAAGAGATCACCATTGCGTTGGCTATGGCGGGAGATCCTTGCTCTGAGACAACCTCACCCATTACAGGTTGCTCACCCTTTTTCTTCCTATACCACCCCTTCGACCCCCATGATGCAGACTCGGTTCCCTCGACTTACTCCTCAGCCTCTCCCCTCCTACTTGGCTATTCCGGGATAGCTGCCCGCGACTGTTGCCTCCACAATGGCTGGTCAATCTGCCAGTGGCCACATTTCACACCCTTCCCCCACCTCTGCCCCTGCAGTGACCTTGATTCTTGCCGCGGCCTTGCAGGTGCCTCGGTTTCCACCCTCCTATGCGCACCTCAAACATTCCCAAGTATGATG